AACAAGGGCCAAAGTGTCCCTAATTTACACAATAATTATTGTATATAACATAATATATATCAATACCATTATTTTTTAAATGCATGTTAATTGAAGAAATATGTGCTTCTACATTGAAACTCCCTGTATTTTGGATGGAATTTTGTGAGCTGTTAGATAGAGACATAGACATACAGCCATCATTTTTTTTGTTAGTCAGTCTTGTTGTTGAAAATCAAACACCTAAATAGGACCATGAACGCTTGTATTGCTCACAGGCTCCTGAAAATATGTTGTTTAAATGCATTTTGTGTCTTTCTTGAGTTTTCGGACAGTCTTTTTTGTTAGTTATAGCTAATGTGTACATTGTGTCACCATGGTAGCTGATGAACATTCTTCCCCCAGCATGATGTCAGTGCAATTCAATTATCATTCGACTGTATCACTTGGAAAGGAACATTATTATCATGTATGCTTCCAAAATTTCCTACTTGTAATTTTCCACCTTTCTCAGACACCTGCCAAGAGCATTGTTCATTGAAATACAAGCACATTTTAGTGTTTGGAAAGAATTAGTAGAGTTCAAATCTAGTCCCCAATGGTAAAAGCAGGAAGTAAATATGTATTGTTGAGGTGTGGGGATGATAAGATGAACAATGTGAAGCGGACATCCTCATTCTCTTTTTAGCGCTTCCTTTGAGAGATAGTTATTTTAGCATTGTGGACTTAACCCATTTCCTTGATAACTCGTGATAATATGATGAATAGACTGTTGAATAAGTATGGGAAAAATGTCAAAATAACTTTATTGGAATGTTGACAGGAAAGTTTGGTTCGTGATTGTGTAATAGAGGGAACTTTCACCAACTGTGTGAGAGGGCGTAAGGTGCCGTTTGCTCTCTTATCACTTTGGCATGGGGGATCTGTTTGGGAATGAAGTGTTGCATCAGACCACAGTCACTTTTAGATTTTGTTTTAACACTCTTTGTCCATCCAACATGGCCATTTTCAAAAAGTACAGCAAGTGAGAAGACAGAGCTGTGAAAGCAAAACTTAAAGGTACATTATGTAACTTTTCGGGTGGATGGTACAGCACCTGTTTGTTTCCATGGAGACGCTATTGATTTGGCTCAAATGTTGCGCAGTATGGCATAAAACCTTAAAAAGGATGCATTAGCCAGTCAGGGTCACCATTCCACAGATCAGATCCAGAAAATCTACATAGTGCATTATTAATTGTCTTCCAAACTAATCAACTAGTATTAGAGGTCTATTTAAAAATAGTGACCAATATAATTTGTGTTTCTTTTTGCAGGTTCTCCTTACTATGACAACGTGCGGCCTTTATGCTACAGTGATTCAGATGCTGTGCTCTTGTGTTTTGACATCAGCCGACCAGACACAGTGGACAGTGCTCTGAAAAAGGTACTTACCTTTATAAACCTCTTACAACTAATCAGATGTTAAATAATTAAATTGAAAAGCATTATTAATTATCCTGATTTTATTTGTTTTAGTGGAAAACAGAGATCCAGGACTTTTGCCCAAACACACGTATCCTTCTCATCGGCTGCAAGACTGACCTCCGAACAGATGTTTGCACTCGCATCGAGCTGTCCAATCAGAAGCAAGCGCCCATCTCATATGAACAGGTGACCACCATGACCTAATACTATACATTCAAGGCTGTACTCTGCGTATAGATTCATCAAGATGATACCAAGTTGAGACTAGATTTAGTTTTGGTTTTGACCTCTTGTCATGGTTTACTTTTGGTTTAGTCCTGGTTTAACCCTGGTCTGACCCTGTTTTTCTGATGTTTAGTTCTGATTTGTGTTGTTTCAGTGTGGGCTATGTTGTGCTGTAGGCACATTTTAAAACTGATGTGCTTTTTACTCGATGCTATGCTATTATTTTTTACGAGATCTACAGTCTATCCTCTAACAGTTAAAACTTTTTTTTTTAATTTCTGACAGGTCAAACATCTTTTTAATAAAGTATTGTCATATATATTCAGACAACAGCTTGTGGCCAAATTTAAATAGTTAGCAGTTATCACATCCATGTATGTCACATCTGCTGCTCCACCTAGAAAGTACTTTTTTAAACTAACCAAAATTGTCAAGTTAGGGAAAACAAGCAATATTTGAACTACATATATTAACAGTTTTATGAAGTGAGTTGTCAAACTTGTCACTTTAATTTAACTTTATTGTAACTGCTATTTCCAGGGCACATCATTGGCCAAACAGCTGGGAGCAGAGACGTACCTGGAGTGTTCTGCGTTCACATCAGAGAAGAGTATCCACAGTGTTTTCAGGACCACGGCTCAGGCCTGTATGAACAAACTACAACCCCCCAACAAGACCAGCCCAGTACGACGCCTGTCCAAAAGACTACTACACCTGCCCAACAAATCTGAGCTCCTCTCCTCCTCCTTCACCAAGGATCGCTCCAAAAGCTGCTCCGTCATGTGAACACTTACAAGCAATTCAATGTATTTTTGTAAAGCCCCAAATCACAACAAAAATCAGCCACTGGTTAATAACCATCACACAGATTAAGTAACATTCACAGGAAACAATCAAAAGAATAACTGTGTCAGAGCGCCTCCTACAAAAATTCCCCAAACCCAGTGGGAAATAGAGAAACCTCGAGGAGAACCACAGAGAAGAAATATCCGCTCCAATGGATGGACTGGCTGCAAATGTGTCCAGGACTGAAGGGCACCCATTTGCAGATTTATTCAGTTATTATAAACATGCAATAGAAAGCAAAGAGTAAGAGTTTATTATCTGTACTAGAAGTTTATTTATTGAACAGAAGCAGACAGAGTACAGTATCATCTTAAATATAGGCCAAGAATGGAAATCTCGCACCATGCCACAAAAAATGGTTGTGCCTAAAGAATAAACTGTGCGTTATACTCGGACATGGTTACTAGCAGTGCATTCAACAGTATTTAAATATTATCATTTAAAATCATATTACAGAGCTAATTCCTTCCATCTTTCTAATAGTGTAATTGTTATGGTCATATTGAGAAGGGGTGAAAATGAAATGTTATACCAGACAGTTCACATAATGTGGGGTATTTATACTAAAGTTGGTGATGGGGGCATGGATGTAGCAAAGCTGGTTTGTGAAGGTGGAGGGAGGAGGAGGAGGAGTAGGAAGAGCAGAGCACATCCTGAGGAGCAGCACCGTGAGTCAGCAGCACTCACACGAGTCTGAGGCGCGACCAAAACAAAAGAGCCGCTGTGGAAACGAGCTGCAAGCTATTTATGTACGAGGCATTTATATGTGAGCGGGACATTGCACCATGTTTGTTACTCAATATAAGACACATGCTGAAAGTGTGGGATTACTAATAATTGGATTACTCTGCAATTTAACTGCAGATGGTTTGAGCTGTGACTGAGTGAGTAAACAGTATGCAGTTCACACAGGCAGGTCCTGTATGGGGAATTTGAATCCCTATTATTGATGATTTGGTTAATTTTAAGCAGAAGTAGTGTTAACTTCATTATTCTTACATGCCTCCAGTCACATGCACACATTATTACTGTACAATTGTTGCTAATGCTTTTTATTCAAAAGTGTCTTATATCATCACTGCTGACAGAGGGGTGGATAAAGGGAGGATGATTTGGAGGTCTGAGTTCTTTGGATGCACAGAACACTGGAATTTAACGTGTTGCTTAGCAACCGAGGAGCCGGGCAGCTCCTGTCTGAGAGGGCGCCGCGTGTTTGTAGCACAAGCCCCAGTGAAGCGCAGGTCAGACAGAGATACTGCAGAATTTCTAGAGTTTCACTGTTTGAACTGAGCTGTAAGAGGGCTGAGCGATGCAAAGATGCATCTAAAACAATCATGATATTTTCTGCAATCATTCTTCTGTGTATAGATCGCATTCAGACCATTCTTCTGGCTCATGCCCTAGTCTCTCTTTTGTTATTTAAGCGAATTTAATGTACAGACCGTATCTCCCCTTAAATGCACCAGAAGAATGTTGCTGAAGCAGATATTTGTAAAAATGTAATATTAAGTATTGTCTGTTGTGATGCTATTTCAGTTTGTATGTTTATTTAAATAAATAAAGATGTTAAGTTAATTCTGCTGTGTGCATTAGACTGTATTTTATCACTCTAACCTACTTTTGCCTTATCATGATCACTGAATATTTGTGTGTGTGTGTGTGTGTGTGTGCGTGTGCGTGTGCGTGTGCGTGTGCGCGTGTGTGTGGTGTGGAGCCCTAATTATGATCTGACAGGAGACCTATGTCTGATGCGTCACTGAAGCATGAAAAGGGCCTGGGGTCAATGCAATGCAAGATTTAAATGCACAATATATGTTTAACCATGTTAACAAATTCAAATGGCTTTTTGTCCTGGATGGGTCTAACCAGGACTAGACCAGATCTAACCCAGGTCTATGAAGGTATGAAGCAGCTCTGAGAAATACTGACCACTACAGTGATAAAATGTTCTCTGGAAAGATTCTGCATTTCTTATGTAACCAGTTTTCATATCTGTTTAGTGTTTCTTTGCTTTGTCTTTCTCTCCTCTGCTCTTATCAAGTCCACTCTACAATACTTCCTCTTCCAGTCCAGTAAAAAGATAGGACACGACACCAGTGGAACGTATGAATTATAGGGCTGCATAATATATACTTATCATAAAAGCACCCATGGACCTGAATATTTTTATATTGGATATATATATATATATATATATATATATATATATATATATATATATATATATATATATATATATATATATGTTTCTCACCTTCCACCGTGGTTGGGCACTCTCACCCTTGTCCAGCTCGGGTCCTCTACCAGAGGCCTGGGACCTTGAGAGTTCTGCGCAGTATCTTTGCTGTCCCCAGTACTGCACTTTTCTGGACTGAGATGCCCGTTGTTTTTCCTGGTATCTGTGCTGTCCTTCAGGCCAGGCCTCTCAAGCCACTGGTAGGATTTCTTGATATTAGCCACTTCAGTTATGTTCCAGTGGTACGCCCCATGTAGGGGCTTGTCCTGCCATGATGGTCCCTCCAGCACCTCTTCCTCTGGACCCCACTGTCTGAGACATTCTCTGAGCACCTCATCTGTCGGGGCCTTGATGTTCATCAAGGAGCTTGGATGTTTCATCTTGGACAGTGGTTCCCACACTCACTAGTCCCCGGCCTCCTTCCTTTCGTCTTACGTACAGTCTCAGGGTGCTGGATTTGGGATGGAACCCTCCATGCATGATCAGGAGCTTTTGTGTCTTAACATCTGTGGTGTGTATCTCCTCCTTTAGCCAGCTTACGATTCCTGCAGGATATCTGATCACTGGCAGGGCGTAGCTGTTGATTGCCTGTGCCTTGTTCTTCCCATTGAGCTGGCTTCTTAGGACTTATCTCACTCTTTGCAGGTATTTGGCCATAGCCGCTTTCCTTGTTGCCTCTTCGAGGTTGCCATTTGCTTGTGAGATACCAAGGTACTTGTAACTGTCCTCAACATATGCTATTGTTCCCTCTGGGAGTGACACCCCCTCTGTGTGGACTACCTTCCCTGTCTTTGTCACCATCCTGCTACATTTCTCAAGCCCGATAGGCATCCCAATGTCTGTACTGTAGATCCTTGTGGTGTGGATCAGTGAGTCGATGTCTCTCTCACTTTTAGCGTACAGATTGATGTCATCCATGTAGAGGAGGTGACTGATGGTGGCCCCATTTTTTGGGTTTGTTATCCATAGCCAGTGCGGTCAATGATTTTGGTGAGGGGGTTCAGACCTATGCAGAACAGCAGTGGGGACAGTGAGTCTCCTTGGTATATGCCACATTTGATGGACACTTATACAAGTGGCTTGCCATTGGCTTCAAGGGTGGTTTTCCACAACTGCACTGAGTTTGCAATGAAGGCCCTTAGAGTCCTGTTGATATTGTACAGCTCCAAGCACTCAGTGATCCATGTGTGTGGCATTGAGTCATAGGATTTCTTGTAATCAATCCAGGCTGTGCACAGGTTGGTCTTACGGGTTCTGCAGTCACGAGCGACTGTTCGGTCAACCAGGAGTTGGTGCTTGGCTCCCCTGGTGTTTTTGCCAATGCTCTTCTGTGCTGCGCTCATGTATTGATCTATGTGCCCACTTATCTTAGCCGTGATTATGCCTGACATGAGCTTTCATGTTGTGGAGAGACAAGGTTATTGGCCGATAGTTGGATGGGACTGCACCCTTTGAGGGATCCTTCAGAATCAGAATCGTACGTCCTTGGATTAGCATTTCAGGGTGAGTCCCATCCCTTAGCAGCTGGTTCATTTGTGCTGCCAGGCGCTCGTGGAGGGCAGTGAGCTTCTTTAGCCAGTACGCATGGATCATGTCAGGGCCCGGTGCGGTCCAGTTTTTCATACCTGAGACACTTTCCTGGATGTCTGCCACTGTGATGGTGACTGGATTCTGTACAGGGAGGTTGCTGTGGTCTTCTCTCAGATCCACTAGCCACTGTGCATCTGAGTTATGTGATGCCTCCCTCTCCCATATGCCTTTTCAGTACCTCTCAGTGTCCACCCTTGGTGGGTCTGCTCTGGTGTTATTACCCTGCCACTAAGCGTACACTTTCGCCGGTTGTGTCGTGAACAACCGCTTTATTCGTCTGGCTTTGTTATCTCTTGTGTACCTCTTTAGGCGACTGGCCAAGGCTTGGAGCCTTTGTTTAGCAGTTTCGAGTGCTTCAGGTATGGGCCTCTGGTTGTACCTCTTGGGTACTTGCTTTTTCATTGCACCTTTCTGAGCCTCTGACAGTTGGCTCACTTCTCTCCTCGCCTCCTTGATTTTAGCCTCTAACCGTCTTTTCCATGGTGGGTATCGTGTCTCATGGCTCCCATGGTTGCTCTTATAACCCATGGTTACTATATATATATATATATATATATATATATATATAGAGAGAGAGAGAGAGAGAGAGAGAGAGAGAGAGAGAGAGAGAGAGAGAGAGAGAGAGAGAGAGAGAGAGAGAGAGAGAGAGAGAGAGAGAGAGAGAGAGATAGATACAGTAGTGCTCCGATTCTGATCACCACGAGTACCTCTGATGCCTTCACCTTCCAGGCCTTCCAGCTCTTCCTTCAGCCCCTGGTATTTTCTAGTTTTTTTATAGTTATTTTTTCTTTATATTACCATTGCTTGGTATTGCAATGTCCACCACCACAGCTTTGTTCTCTTGCTTATCCACCACCACTATGTCTGGTTGATTTGCCATCACCATTCTGTCAGTCTGTATATGGATTTTCCACAGGATCTCGGCTTGGTTGTTCTCCCCAACCTTTGAAGGTGTTTCCCACCTTGACCTTGGGGTCTCCAGCCTGTACTCTGCACAGATGTTTCTGTACACTATGCCTGCCACTTGGTTATGTCACTCCATGTATGCTTTCCCAGCAGCATCTTACACTGGATTGTCTCAGGAGCCTACACCTTGGGTCTTGTCTGGTGTGGCAGATCTGAGCACAAGTATTGCTCAAGTGCCCAGGCTCCTGTGCAGTCAGGATGACTGCCTCTGTGCTGTCCTTTAGACCAGCCCTCTCAAACCATTGGTAGGATTTCTTGATATTAGCCAATTCAGTTATGTTTCAGTGGCATGCCCCATGTAGGCTTGTACTGCCTCTAAACTCCACTGTCTGAGACATTCTCTGAGCACGTCATCTGTCGGGGCCTTGTCCTTGATGTACTTATGGAGCTTGGATATTTCATCCTGGATAGTTGTTCCCACACACACTAGTCCTTGGCCTCCTTCTTTCCGGCTCATGTAGAATCTCAAGGTGCTGGATTTGGGGTGGAACCCTATGATGTCATGTAGTAATAATGCCCTACTATGTTTTTAATCTTCATGCACCTTCACTAGAATCATTTAAATGATTTCAACCGTGGAATTGCCAGTCTCTTGCCAAGGTAAAAGATAGCTGTTAACATGAAAACACCGCTTCATGACATCACAAGGTGCAACAGAGCATTTTGAGATTTGGAGATGTAGACAGACTAATAATAACAAAGGATTATTCAGACGTGTAGGAATGAAACAACATGCAACCCCAGGTATGTTTTTGATGAGTAACTACATTATAACAAAGCTCACAGGAACCAGTTATGCATAATATAAGACTATAAAAATATAACTTCTTCTCAAAGACATAACCTAATTTTAGACATATACTATGCCTCACTTAGTAAATAAGCAGATCACCCGACTGTCACATGTGGTGCATAACAACACATATCCACCTATCAGACCTCTTCTCCAGCAGAGTGAGGGTGAAAGGGAGAGACTGAGAGGGAGAAAGAGGGGAAGGCGTATCAGGGGGTGAGGGGTAACAGAGCAGCACTGGAGGGGTTTGTAGTAGACCTCTGCTGCCTGGATACTGATGATGAGTGATCTGACACATTTGCACATTATGGTATGAGCTCTAAACACTCAACAGAAGCCCTTGCAGCTATATGACATGAGGCTCAGATGGAGTCAAGTCTGTATGTCAACCGAGCATCAATACCATTCTGTGAGCATCCTATAATTTATATTATATACCATTATATTCTGTATTTAAAGGTCCCATATTACTCTATTTTCTGGTGTATGTTATAATGTATTTTTCTCATCCAAAACATACCTGGAGTTTTGTTTTGTTTCATTCACATGTTTAACACACAAATCCTGCATATTTAGGCTGAGTGCTTCTCTCAAATTGAAATCACTTCACCTTGTGATGTCATGTGGTAATACAGGAAGTGCTCCACTGTGTTTTTAAACTCCATACATCTTCAGTAGAATCTAGATTCACTAGGATTTGCATATTTCTATCAAACAAAAGGTAAAATGTAACTGCTTCATAACAACACAAGGGGAACAGAGTATTGTGAGCTTTGTAGATGCACACAGACTACTAATGAAGGATTACTCAAGCATGTGTGAATGAAACAAAACATAAGTCCAGGTATCTGTTTGACTTAAAGGTCATCGAGTTAATTTTGTGTAATATAGGACTTTTAACAAAAAAGGCCTACGTGCATTAAAAAAGAAGTGCAGAGTATAAAATATTTCTTTTGTCGTCCTTATGTGCACAAAAAAATCATGGATAACATTTCATAATCCTACAATTTCTACAATTTAGGTGGGGCTGCATGGTGTAAAACTATTTCATCTGCCTGGAGGTTAATCCAATGCAAGTACTTTATAAAGAGATCACACAACAATGGTCCCATTATGGAACCCTAAATTGTGCCATACAGAGATAGAATCATCCTGACAGTTTACTCACTGGCAATGAATGGTGAGTAGAAGAGCTCAATATACTTAAATTTCCTGAAGTGTGTTTCTTACCATGTCCTTCTACTAAATCATGCTATAGTCATTAAGTATTTGTTTAATTAATTCATTTTCTAATATGATTAAAAAATAAAAAAATTTAATTATTCATAACATACTCAATATTAGTCAATAAAATATGCAATTTTAAGGTACAATGTTTTTATTTTTCCTTTCTGCAAATATGATCAAACAGAGCCCTGAACCCTGAGGAAAGATTTACATTAATATTAAACATCCATGGTATTAGCATGTAGCCAAACCTGCAGCAGCAACAGCATTAAATAAACATAAGGATTATTTGGTTAAACATACAAAATATGCAAATCCTGCTTTGAATTTTGTACCATTGTTAAAAGATTAAGTGTGACATCTCATGCTCTCTTTCATGCCTGATTTTGTACAGCTGTTGATTTATGGATGTGTGTCAGTTTGTGTTGTGTATACTAAACAGTTCATTGTGTTTGCTGGCACATACCTCTCTGATCCCAGTGCGGGAATCAGAAATACAACCTGTTTGTCCTGAGGTCTATAATTAAACCCAGGTTAATTTAATCCTCTGTTTAGAAGAATGCATTTTCCATTTCTCTTGAAGAATCCAGGAAAGATTTAGCTGGATCCAGAAAATATTTGAGAAATGATAATGGAGTCTAATGGGACTGATCTGGAAACTGTTTTGAAACTCTTTTGTCCTTCTCCCCAACTCACGACACCAGAAGGTTTCCTGAATCTTCTTAATTACAAAATAAGTCCTGTAGTTCTGATTTGAACCTCTAGTTTTAGTTTACACTGAGTTCAGTCAGTGGTTTAGACTAGGCTTGGTTTCTGGTTCAGAGATCTACAGCCAATCCACTGCCTGCAAAAGCATGTGGAGGTGGAAGGCGTTTATGGTATATTAATTAAAAAGTGTGATAGAGCATAGACGGCATTGAGAGTCAACAGTGCATTTGATATTTTTTCTTTGAGGGAGAATATCATCATACATTATTTTAAAATTGTGATAGGACCTAATCAGTGATATTTTGATCTTGATACATCCCTAGAAACTGAATTAAATCAAACATAATGTTCTGTTCAGTTTAATCTCTGCTCAAGTTTAGATAAGACAGAGGAAGACATCTCCAGATAAAGAGTGGTTTTATCACAACATGGCTTCACTTTTCTGATTACATCATTCTGTGAAGAATCGGAGGCTTCCAGTCACAAAGTTTACTCACGCACCAAACTTAACCAAACTTTTGTCTTTTTCTATTCATTTGCCTCATATCTAACTACGTGGCATAGCTTATCAGTACCTTATGTGTCCACTCACCATTAGGTAAGTTATCATTACACAGTTACACAATTCAGCAATGAGCAAAACAATCATTAACTGACAGTGATCCACTGATCCTGATTGTTGGAAGATACTTCCAACACACTTCCCTTTACTTTCACTTTTACTGTAATGATCATGACTCATTGGGAATCTTTTTAATATACCAAATGTTTATTTATAGACTATGCGTAGCAACAGTGGCTTAGGTGTTTTGTTTTTTTCTTAATATGGAAAACTAGGAAAGTCCCACTTAGATTGAGAATTTCCTGGCCCCAGATTATTCCCATAAAGTGTTCCGACACAAGTATCTTTGAAAGTAAAAATATAAAGTTTAATGTTCGTAATGGTGCACAATAAATAACTATAGATAAATAGACAGATAGATAGACAAATAGAGAGAGAGAGAGAGAGAGAGTGAGTGAGAGAGATATTGCTTTGTCAAGAATGTTCCCCAATATGGCATTAAATATCTATTTACATGAATAAATCAAACACTTAAAATGCAGTTAACATTCCCTGGTTTGAAATATAAATATGTTCTCTTCAGTATCTTGCCTCTTTTGTATATTTTATACCACCATCTTTGAAGTTGCTGCTGGAATGGTTTCACCTTCAGAAGGGCTTCATAAATCTCTCTTGATCTCCCGCTGGATAAAACACAAGTGTAGAATAAGAATCAGCACTGGGCCCGTCTGAGCTGGAGTCAAAATCTCTGCCTTCTTGTTGGTCTGTGAGGATGCACGAAGGATCTTTCTCAGAGGAAAATAAAGGTAGTTTTTGATTCTACCATATGAGAGTATTCTTCTTCGATGGGGGCATGGACAAAATCAAACACCCAGAAATACATTGTATACAATACACATACATACCATACCTTATACATTAACAATATTTTTGCTTGCCTCATCTCAGTGGAATACAAGGGACCTATGAAATTTTATGACCTGTTACTTTTATCAAAATATGTTTTGCTGATTAAAGTAATCATGTAAGTCTAATATTACAAAGACAGCCGATGGCAATGTGGTGGAACCACCACTTCCCCCTTTTGGTTGTCCTGCACAACTATTTAGGCCTCTATCCCTTACCCCATTTATCTAGAGACATTTACCATGTGATATTTACATACAAAACAAACTTTCTTTCTCACAAAGAAATCAGTTAATTGTTCTTCCAAGCCTCACCACCTGCAACAAAGTCCCTCTTTTTCTGCAATTTGAGATGGTCAACCTAGTGAAGTGTCCTGCCCAGAGACACAATGGCAGAATGCTCCTGGGTAATATGTATCCAGTATTCAAACCAAGCTTCCTTCTGTTCAGTAGGGGAATAAATAATTTTTTCATATTTTAATAATATATCTCTGTTGTACCCACATAAAGTTAGCCTACTGTCTATATTAAAGATGCCCAACTTTTGCCACTCTTGTGCCACCTTGTGTTTATTGTTGTACAAAACAGCATAGAAATACATTTTATACAGGCATTTAGGCGTCCCTGAGGCCAAACAGTGAGGTCCTAACACACTCAGCAAAGCATGTTGGGAAATGAAGTTTCAACATAGCATCCGATCAGTGCGATACGACCATACATACTACCACTCCCACAATCCCCTGCGCGCTCCTACAGTATGGAATCTTCGTGAATCGTAAACACATCGCATCAAGAAAGTTATTGAACTGAGATAATAAAGTAAGCATTGGATTTTCGACTTACATAACCATACGTACGTTATATAGTTTAGAAATTATGCGTTGCATTTGTTAATGTGACTTAAATAATTGCAAGTATTTGTATTAAGCCATAGAGCTAATCGCGTTGCTAACTTGTAAGCTAACATCGCATTGCATTCATTTGCCTAGTCTTCTATTATCTTGTAATAACTTGCTGTTTAATGTAAAATATTTTTAGCAGTGTGTTTATACTAGTGATATTTGTTCATTTAGTATATAATTTGGGAATTAATTTAACCGTTAAACACAGAAAGGTTTCTACATTTTTAAGTACGATTATTAGAAGAATTAATTAATTATTAGAAGTTAAAATGTGATGAAATTGTTCATCTTGAAATTGATGGATTTCTTGTTAAATGAAAGTAAGATGCTTTAGATCTATTTAGTTGTGTGCACTAGCAAACTGAAGGTAAATGGCGAGATTCATGTTTTTCTTTTGTTATTAGATGGCAGCAGATTCCAGTGACAGAAAGGAGGCAGAGTCCTCCGTGGCCAAAGACCGGGAGAGGAAACGCAGTCGGTCCAGAGAGCGGGACAGAGACCGTAAGGGGTCACCGTCACGAAAGCGGCATCGTTCTCGTGAGCGTAACAGGTCCAAATCTGCAGAGAGGTAAGCCAGATCTCCTCTAGTCCGTCTTCCTTTGATTAATTCCTTTTCAGAATTTAAAGCAGCAAATTCCACTTGTCTCTTATTCTCTAATATTAACCAACTCCAGTGTTTGGTCTTCCTTTAAACCTCCTGAATGGCTTTCCCAAACTTAAAATCCTTCTTCACTGCTATTCACTGCTCCTCCTCTATATATGTCGGACCATCCAGTTTGATCTGTGTGCCTTTCTCATCCTTTCCTAATTATATCTCTGTGTTAAAGCATGCAACCCTCAGTCCCAAGAGAAACTATATCTTATCATGTCATCCATGTAAAAAAAAATTTCTGTGTTTGGACTGAATATTTTTCCAGTTTTATACAAAGACCTAAACATTTTTGCTTTCAGAGATCGCCGAGCAAAAGACAAAGACAGAGACAAGGATCGTGACAGAGAAAAGGACAGAGACAGAAGTCGTAAAGACAGAGATAGCCATCGGCGAGACAAAGATCGCAAAAAGTCCAGGTATGACTTTTGATATGTAATTTTTTTTAGATGTATTGATGGCCCTATATCTAGATTGTTTTTTTATGCTACTTATTTAGAATTTATTTTACCATTTATATTTTTGCTCTTTATTATTATAATATTGTGCTGTGTGAGCTACTGTGTCCAAATAATTTCCCTTGTGGGTCAATAAAGTTTGTCTAAGTCTAAGGAAATTCAGAGCAAGTATATTACTGATTAGCTTTTCACTGTTACACTAGAAAGTCGTGAAATGTTCTGCTGTCATGAAATCTGAAATCTTCAAATACTGGTTTTGTAAATGTATTAATAGCCTTGGAGTTTTTCTTACAGTCTTGTTTCATTTTGCAGAAGTCTATCTCCCAGATCTAAAGATGCCAAAATTAAGAAGGAAAAAGACATAAAGACTGAGGAGGAAGAAGAAGATACAAAGAAGAAAGAGAAAGTATGGATAGAGAATATTAGACTTAAACCATTAAATTACTCTTGTTTAACATTTTGAATTTATTTAATATTTTGTTCAGGTCCAACCACTCTCCTTAGAGGAGCTTCTGGCAAAGAAAAAAGCAGAAGAGGAAGCCGAGGCGAAGGTATATATTATCTCAATGGGAATTTATGATTTACTCCAATTTTATTCACTTGACAAATATGTCCATTACATTAGCTGCACATTTTATGCAATCCAATCCAATTTTTTTTTTTTTTTTTGTATAGTGTATTTTATAAGCTAGTTTTCAAAATTCTGCACATAGTAACAATGGGCTTTTTTGTGCTAAAGAGCAGCTATAACTTTGTTCTCCTTATGTACAGCCCAAGTTCTTGTCCAAGGCTGAGCGAGAGGCTGAGGCAATAAAACGTCGTGAGCAACAGATGGAAGAAAGAAAAAGAATGATTGATGAAGAAAGAAAGAAGAGAAGGGTTTTTCAGGATATGGGGCGTAAAATGCTGGGTATGTGTTGTGTTTTTACTTTGTTCTTGTTTATAATATTTAACATAACATTTCCACTCACTAACTGAAAATGTATATAACAGAAGATCCTCAGGAGAGGGAGAGACGAGAAAGAAGAGAGCGCATGGAGCGAGAGAACAATGGGAATGAGGAGGATGATGGACGACAGAAGCTCAGAGAAGAAAAAGACAAAGGCAAAGAATTAGTGGCCATTAAGGTAAAATGATTAATGTATAATTATAATGGAGATAAATTACATATAATATTAGGGCAATATGGTATTAGGTAAGAAGTGAGATTCTGTATAAAGGAGAATTATAGCTGAGGCTGCAGCTTTTGTGGGGTGGGTGTTTTCAGAGAAGTAGGGAAAAATGTCTTGCCCAAGGACACGACAGCAATATATGTTAGTAGGCTAGGGCTAGATGAAAGAAAATCAAAATCACAGTTGGCATAGGTACAAATGGTAAAATTATTTAAGGAATATAAAAATGTGGTATAGAACCTGCTTTGTGCAGTTTAGGCCTCTATTAACATGTTCTCAAATGTATGTGTTACTTGCAGTAGTTTAGCAGTTCATACTTCAGCATTCCCTTCATGGACATGTTTACACTGTGCTTCGTAAGTCTTAATTGTAACTCTCAATTTCTTACTTAATGTTTTTTTTTTTTTTTTTGCAGGAGCGCTACCTTGGTGGGATGAAAAAGCGCAGAAGAACTCGACACTTAAATGACAGGAAGTTTGTGTTTGAATGGGATGCTTCCGAAGACACATCGGTAGACTACAACCCAATGTAAGTCAACAGACACAGAACTAAATGTATTAAACATGAGGTGACACTGGCTAACATTGTATGAGTGTATTTTATTAGATACAAAGAAAAACACCAAGTTCAGCTGTATGGACGAGGATTCATCGCCGGCATCGACTTAAAGCAGCAGAAGAGAGAGCAGTCTCGTTTCTATGGCGATCTGATGGAAAAGAGACGTACAACAGAGGAGAAGGAGCAAGAGGAGTGAGTATTGTATTTTATTCTATATGTATATCTGGAGGTGTTAATATTTCAGTTACAAACTATTACATTGGTTTTCAAACTGTGATACGTATGCACTTGACTTCAGTTGGTATAGCGATAGCTCTGCTTATATTCAATTCTGATTTCGCCGCTTCGCTTGTTTGCCTTCTCTCTGCACGCCCCCGCCTCCTTGATTTTGCTCGCTCATTCACTACCGCCGTAAATGCCGAAAGTTGGTGCCAATGAAAAGCTTCTAGCACCACGAACCTTTTCCACCATTTACAGACAAGACCATCAGCAGCACATCCTCATATTCCACTGATTCGTGTCCTTTAGTCCGAAAGAAGCTGAACTGCATTAGCAGCACAAGGAGCGGCTGTTTATGCAAATCAGCCATGCGCTTTTAAGTTTCGTTTCTGTAAAACGTAAACACATGTGTGCAAAACTGCATCAAACACATTAGAATCTCAAACGGGCTGATGTGGCTCTGTAATCATTATGCTTTATTTGTTGTAAAGTTTAGTAATGTAAAGTTTATTTATGCAGAAGTTTTTAATCAATAATCTGCTGCAGTGTAACTTGTATAACAGTATTTGGAAACATTGGGTTTGATCTGCGCAGTGGCTTGTGGGATACCTCAGAGCTCCTTACTGCTGGTGAGGAACATGAATCTGTTAAAATAAAGAACCTCCCAAGCTTCCTCTGCTAAAGGAGCTCATGGTTATCGTGTGGTTTAATAGAGTTAATGCAAAGATGAGCTTGAGTTGTTTTATTTATGAATGAAAAGAAGGCAATATGTATAATTTCTTTTATTTTACAGTTAAGTTATTATTTATGTAATCAGGGATATTTTGTAATAATTAAATGTGGCACTTTGTTCCTACATAAACTGCCTACCTCTTGCACTTCAGTAAAAAAAGACATTGTGGAATTTGGCATATTTGTTTTTGCAGTAGTTTTGGGGGGTTATTTTTCCTCTACAGATATCGAGATATATATCGTATATCGACATATAGCAAAATGTATCGAGATACATTTTTTGCTCCATATTGCCCAGCCCTAGGTTAATCTTATTGCCCTATTGTAAACCTGCAATGGTCCTGTACAAGATATAAAGTTTAACAGCAGTGATGAAAGCTGGATATAATAATTTAGGATAGATTTTTATTCATTTAAAAAATGCTGCAGTATATAAAGGCAATTTGTTTTGTTGTTGTTTTATTTTAGTCGGAATATAACCAAATCTAACTAAAAAAACAACAAGCAAACAAACATAAAAAACTGTGAGGGGTAACATTTAATGAAATATACAACCATATTTACACAATAGACAGGAACAAAAAGTATCCCACTGCTCCATCATTGTCTCACCCTACCTATTCACTTTAATTCTATTCTAATTTCAAAACCTCATGCTAAGTTTATCTATATTTTTTCAGGACAAGGTTGAAGAAGATGCGTAAGAAGGAGGCCAAGCAACGCTGGGACGACAGGCATTGGTCTCAGAAGAAACTGGATGAAATGACGGACAGAGACTGGAGAATCTTCCGAGAGGATTACAGCATCACCACCAAAGGAGGCAAGATCCCCAACCCCATCCGCACATGGAAGGAGTATGCCCTGCCCGCTCACATCCTGGAGGTCATCGACAAATGTGGATACAAGGTCAGTGTGAATAAATATTGTTTAGTGATTTTTTGTGTGTGTGGATATTCTGAGTTTTACAGAAGAAAGATAATTTTTATCGACTTTTTGATGCTTTAACTATAATCCAAAGTTTGAATATCCAATACACCCTTTGAGAAAGTTAAAGTAGTTAATCTTGTTTTCTTGCTTTTTAAATGGAAAAATTTTACTTGTAAGTGTTCCTGTTGTTTAAAGGATTCCTTATTTTGACTTGTGTGTACTTTCTTTGTTCTTTCTTTGTTTTTACCCATCTGTGAAGAGCATAAACTTTAAAAACAGTTAATTACAAAACTCAAATTGGGCAATTTCCATTCATATGCATTACTTCAAGATATGCAGTTGAAAATATTAAAAAGCTAGAATAAAATGTATAGTATGTCGCCTTGCGTTTTTCAGTGATACAATTAATAATTTTTTTCATGAAATCCAGGATCCAACACCTATTCAGAGGCAGGCCATTCCCATTGGACTCCAGAACAGAGACATCATCGGTGTGGCTGAGACTGGCAGTGGTAAAACTGCTGCTTTCCTCATTCCACTACTCGTCTGGATCACAACTCTGCCCAAAATCGACAGGTAAGAACACAAAATATTAATTAATGTCAATGTTGTTAATGCTAGTGTATTAATGTATTTATATATTAATGTTTGTTTGTGTAGGATTGAGGACTCTGATCAGGGCCCTTATGCTGTTATTTTGGCCCCCACTCGTGAGTTGGCTCAGCAGATTGAAGAAGAGACCATCAAGTTTGGAAAACCTCTGGGGATCCGAACAGTGGCTGTTATCGGAGGTATCTCCAGAGAAGACCAGGGCTTCAGGCTCAGGATGGGCTGTGAGGTGAGTGAGTTTGATTTTTGGTGTTTTCACACGACAAAAAAAAAACCTACAAATTTTATCACAAAAAACTATAGTTTCTACTTGATCATATATGAATGTATGAGTTTGTGTGAGGTTAGTGGTTCCTTGATGTAAAACATTTTGAGTGAGGGTAGAAAAGTGCTACATAAATCTGACCAATTATGTACCATTTAAATTGGGCAAAATAGGTCCAAAAAGCTTATTGACCATCAGCTGCTCTAAAGTCTTAAAACTGGTAACTGCATCAGCTATGGGGAAACTCACATTACCAAGATGATTAGCCAACAAGAAAGCAGTGTGAGGCTCACACCAGTCTCTAATTTGTGTCTATAAACCTTTAAGGACTCTCCCTGGTCTGAATACAATGTCTACCAAAACTCCCCAACCCATAATATTTTGAAGCAACTTCACTATCCATCTCTGCTCAACCCCCTGAATATTTCTACCATATGCACTATCTCGTCTCTGTATCTTCAGATTGTGATTGCAACTCCTGGTCGTCTCATTGATGTTTTGGAGAACCGTTACCTGGTCCTGAGCAGGTGCACATATGTGGTCTTGGACGAGGCCGACAGAATGATTGACATGGGCTTTGAACCTGATGTCCAGAAGATCTTAGAGTACATCCCAGTGACCAATCAGAAACCAGACACAGATGAAGCCGAGGATCCGGAAAAGATGATGGCCAACTTTGAGTCTGGGAAACACAAATACAGACAAGTAAGGGCATTTCTCTGTGTGTGCCTCTTATATAATTTTATTTATATTATTTTTTGGTTAATATGGCTTTTATTTCTTGGCCATTCCGGACTGTAGAAAATCCAAATGTGGGATGGATTGGGGAAATCTAGATTATGCAGTTTTTTTGGAGTTGTTAATTTTTGTAAAATGCTTGTGTCCTTGCAGACTGTCATGTTCACAGCCACCATGCCTCCAGCTGTGGAGAGATTGGCACGAAGTTACCTGCGACGCCCCGCTGTGGTGTACATCGGGTCTGCCGGCAAACCCCATGAGAGAGTTGAACAGAAGGTTCTGCTTATGGGAGAAGGAGAGAAAAGGTAAACAAATACAATACATATTATTGGAAATGTTATACTCATTGGCTATCAGTGGCTGTGGTTACATGCGCACTCTAAATCAAATTTTTTGAGTTATAAGACTATTAAAATGGCATGATGTAGTCAGCAAAAGCATCTAGTTTCTTTATGATCATGATCCCTTTAAGCGCTTTGTGTTGCTTTTTTGTATGAAAAGTTCACACTGATCAATGATGTAATTTTTCCACAATTTTAAACACTATGAACTCTTGACTTTCACAGGAAGAAGTTGTTGGAAGTTTTGTCTCACGGTTTCGAGCCTCCGATCATTATTTTTGTCAACCAGAAGAAAGGTTGCGATGTGTTGGCTAAATCTCTGGAGAAGATGGGGGTAAGACACTCTTTACACATGCTATATATGTTTCAATATACAGTATGGATTTTAATGATAATTTTTCCCTGTCCCAGTACAATGCGTGTACGCTGCATGGTGGAAAGGGCCAGGAGCAGAGAGAGTTTGCTCTGTCCAACCTCAAAGCCGGAGCCAAAGACATCCTGGTGGCCACAGATGTTGCTGGTCGTGGTATTGACATCCAGGATGTGTCAATGGTCCTCAACTACGACATGGCCAAGAACATAGAAGGTGAGAGACACAGCTTTACATTCATACATTAAACCTAAATATATAAAAAATAATTAATATGTATTATCTGTATTATTTTATTACTTTATATATTATATTATCTATAACTCATCAAAATAAAACTCATGAAAAAAATAGCTTTAGATTGTATTTAAAGGTACACTATGTAACCTAGCAGGTAGTGTACCCTCTACCAGAAACGTTACTACAGTCAGACATTATTGCTCCCAAATTTTATTGTTATATTGTTCCATCTAAAATATGAATTTAAAAAAATCATAAAATACTTGACAACTCTGCCCATACTCTAGTTTCTTGATCACTAATTTCTCATGTATATTCTCTCACAGATTACATCCATCGTATCGGTCGTACGGGTCGTGCTGGTAAGAGCGGTGTTGCCATGACCTTCCTCACTAAAGAAGATTCTGCAGTTTTCTACGACCTCAAACAGGCCATTTTGGAGAGTCCAGTTTCTACCTGCCCCCCCGAGCTCGCCAACCACCCCGATGCTCAGCACAAACCTGGCACCATCCTCACCAAGAAGAGGAGAGAGGAGACTATATTTGCGTAATTCCCCTGTTGTTTTTCTTTTTTTTTTGTAATAAAGTGGATAAATTATCCCACTTGCGTTGTGCTCAGGGCTTTATTTTAAAGGTTCTCTATGTAACTTTGTGGATATAGGGTCTGATAACTGGTTGTCTGTGTAATTTTTGTATTTTTGTATTGCTTGGAATCTTGCAGTCGGGTATTAAGCATATATAGTTAACATTTATTCAGTTCATGTATTTTTATTGGTCAAAATATTCCTTGAAAAACATGGATTGCCTCCACAGATTTGACCTGTAACTTGGCCTGGTGGCATCACCAGGACTTAGTCATTTATTCAATTAAAGGTGTCTTTATTGTGAAAAAAAGTCCTTGCCCTAAAAGCATGCATTTTTACTCTGAGTTTGGTAGTAAGCTGGTAACTGTATTGTGGCCTTTTTTGTCTGTTTAGATAGGTATGTTTAATGCTATACTGTGGCACATTCCAGGCAAAGCAATTACCTCTCCATGGAGACAAGCAGATAGTGGACTCTCCACCAGAAAAGTTACATAGTGCACCTTTAAATAATATGACCCACAGTGGCCAGTCGAAGCCCTTTTATTGTAAATGACTTGAAATTGCAAAACATTGACAAACTAGCAGCAGATTACACTTTAAGTGTGTAGGCTTCTCATTTTTAAGTGTACAATAAACTGTAAACGTAATACGATTTAAACCTTTGTACATTGTCATTGTTCAAAATGTGAAGTTTGTTGAAAGTAGAAATGATTTTCAGTCTTTTCTCAGATTGAGACCAATACACAATGATGCATCTTTTGTACTATTTGGAGCTCAGTGGTCCCATTCACCCCTCAGGTTTCAGAAGTAAAATGCCCATAAATTTTACCCACGGAATGAATTATCAGCTATATGGAAAGTATACTTCTCAGTTAATTAATGTAAACTTCAAATCTCAACCATTTAAAACATTTAGCTGAATTGTATATTTTAAGAACGTTTGTTTTAATAAAATAATCAGGTCTCAATACAGGAATCTTTCAAAAAGTCTATGGGGAAAATGAATGGAAACTCTATTAACAGTACTATACCAGGCTTAAAGTGGACGGGACTGAAGCTCAAAAAAGAATACTTGACTGTTTCATATTTACACTTTATTGGCTAAATAGTTAAAGTGAAAGTGTTTTGCTGGTGAATAATAAACACAAAAGACCCAACCATTAAAAGTACATAAAATGTTATTTATTTTGTCATATTTTACTGAGCAGTGTAAATCTATTCTCAAATAGAAAGCATTCTATACAGCGTCAGGCATAAAACGTCTCATTTTTTTACACACTTACCATCTGTTTTGCTAAATAGAGGGAAGAGGCGTGTCGTGTCACGCTAGCACGCTGTGGTCTGGTGGATACATGGAGATTTAGTGCAGTTATTGCATTACAAAGCAACCATCCCAAAACAAAGTAGTGCAATAGATTTCTTTTTTCTAACTCACACAAAGGAAGTCCAGATGGTCTAAGGCGTTATTAAAGTCTTTTAATGTTCAGCTTAGTATTGCATAAAGAATAAAACATGAAACTAAACTAAAACGGTTGTAAAAATTGTGCTTCGTAAATTGAAAAACCTCAACTGCTTTACCAGTTGCTAAATTGGTCCACTTTTAAAAACGTAGTCTACTTAAATATAGTGAAATAAGCTCATTAGCTAAACTAAGACATGCGGGGCTTCAAGGATCTACTTGATAATAAATAATAAAAGTGCAGACCTCAGGGTGAGACTGTTTTCTGTCACTTTGTCAATAGGTTGGGTTCATGTTCATGAATTTGATGTTATACAGTCATTTCAGATGGAGGACAAAGTTTTATATAACTGAATTTCACTGGAACTGCTTTTTGTTGGTGATCGAATGCTTTTGGGACTGTATTTTTGCCCTAATAGATGATGAATATAATAATGTACTCATTTCACTTTAGTTAATATGTGCTGCCAGAAATAAGTCTTGTGGATATTTGTGAATAGCCCAACAATTAAAGATCTGGCAAATCCTAACTTCTGCTCTCAATCTCAGTCTAAAAGCTACACTAGGTTTTCTGTTCCACAGTATGGCATTAAATGTATATATTTCCATAGACACAAACAGGTATCGCAGTCTCCAGGCCAAATTACACGTCAGATCTGTGAAGAGTTGAGTCTCTTCACTGTTTTCCAAGTTATTTTAGCAACAAAAACACCAAATTGAATAAATACAACATAGATATACTTTATGCCAAACCGTGGAACATTCCTGGCAAAGCAATAACCTCTTAATGAAAGCAACCAGATAGCAGACCCTCCACCAGAAAAGTTACATCTTTAAACTACAGAAGTTTAAAATGACATCTTGTGAACCCAACCTACTAACCCACCCTACAACCAGCTGTTCTTGAGGTTAATTGGTCAAATAATGCGACCTGTCTTTAGTAATAGTTTTAGAGTGAATAGCCCCAAAGACAAGACTATCACTACAAGACAACATGGAGAATCAGGATCAATGCATTACTAAAATACTTAACTGGAAAAAGAAACAACCAGGTTTCATGCAACACTTGCATAGATTTTTTCATTTTTTTAAATCATGCTTTTTTTTCAAAATATATTCAACACTAAATAGAGATTCCTGTGTGACATGGAAGCAATTAACCAGTCTCTCCTCACTGTTTCATTCATATAGTGTCATAACAGACTAATTTCATTCTTCTTTGTGGACTTATGGAGAAGGGGTGAGCTGATGTAGGTGCTACTGCTGAAGTCATGTGAAAGACCACCACTAGGGGGCGCAGCTAGGCCTGTCACAGTAATTACAGTACTATTCATAAATGACTGATTTAGGAGTGTTTATCACATGCACTTTAAATTCCACTAGTGTTTTTTCTTGTGCTGCATTATGATCTTAATATTTAACACTGAACACTAATTAAGAGTCAATAGTTTCATTGCACTGTTTATTTCTTTATGCAGCTCATCCGTTTTCTAAAATATGGTTTTGGTAATTTAGAAAATACTTTACTATTTTTAAACATGCTTTAAGGTTACATTCAGAGGTGAGACCAAATCCTTTTTTTTTGCAAGTCTCAAGTAAAAGACAGGCAAGTCCAAGACAAGTCCCAATTTTTACTTGTTAAAATAAATTACAGAATACAGCTATTTTTGCATTTTATAGTAGTGGAGAAGGATCCAGTTTGTTCCTGTAACTTGAAGCCCTGAAAGAATATCCACAGTATAGTTAAAACTATTTTCTAAATGCACATTGAGTTGTGTTAGAGCTCCAAATCAAGTCCCAAGTCACTGGCCTTCAGGTCCAAGTACATTTGATCAAGTCCACTCTCAGGTCATCGTAATATGACTGAAGCCTACCTGAGTCCAAGTCACGGCTTTCAAGTCCACACCTCTTCTTACAGTACAATTAGCATAAAGTGATGTATTGTATATTATTGTTTACTTCAATACATTGAAAATCTGGACAGGCCTAGTGCAGTTTTTTTGTTTACATGAAATGCCCAGTGATGTGAGTTTGATGATGGACACCTGAGGATCTGTCTTGGTAAATCCTAACTAGGGTGCACTGACTGAGCTCACACATACCACATCAAAACTAGGACTAAACTTGCAGCAGACCTGGACTAAACCAGGACTGGAACAGGACCAAACCAGGACAAGTGTGAACAACGCACCCTTAATAATTCTCACTGTTTAACTGTGGTTTACTTCAATATGTAAAAACAAGTTTGATAATCCTGTGGTTCACTTCAGTGTGAGACCCGAGATGCTACAGTGTGTAACATGCTACAGTGGGTTTGGGCGGAGACTCGAGATGAGAGGTGGGGAGTGGGGGGAGAGGTGGAGGTGCAAAGGCATGCAAGCGTATACATTCTCTGAAGCCTCATAGACGAGCTGTGTGCTTGGTTTACAGTACAATATGCAAAGTCAAATATACAGTGTGAAAGGTAGAAGGGGGTGATACATGGTCTACTCTGCACAGCAACCCTCAAACTGTTGTTCAGTCTTTTGTTGTAGTATTTACATAGATGCAATATGGAACTTTTCTGATGGGGGGTCCACTTCCTGTTTGTTTTCATGGAGTTGTTACTGCTTTGGCTGGAATGTTCCACAGTGTGATATTAAACCTCTCTATGGCCAGATCTGTGAACAGGCGAGCCCACTCAAAGAAAGAAAGCGTGTTGTTTGCATGATATTTTTGAGCAAATTCTACACTACATTCCAGGCTAAGCATCAACAAGCAGGTGGCGGATCCTCAATCTGAAAAATTTACATAGTGCACAAAACAATTTAATATAATTTGATGTCATTTTTTTGCCCTCAACACTTTAAAATTTACTTTCCAATCAATTTTGTGTAATAAAAACTGGGAATATTGACTGCATCAGTGGGTCAAAAGGGTAATACAGGTGCTATTATTTTCAGGTAGACATTATATCACCCACCTCTAAACATTGTAAAGTATATTTAGATTGACAGAATAATGTGACATAAGTAATGGATGTAAACGAGAAACACTCCCTTCTTAGACGAGTACATTCTGTGTGGCCAGTTCAGATTTAGAGGTGTTTTATGTGATTGTGCAACAGCAAAGACAAAGGAGACACTGACATTGTACTGCAGCTCCAACAGAGGGCACTCCGTTCACTGTGCCTTTGAAAATGTCTTTAAAGAATGACTCCAAATGTATCAAAGAAATAGGATGCATTCACGACATGCCAAAATGTATGTTTGTATAATGTATAATTTTAGATGGAGGGAGGGGCCTATCCATGTCTTTCATGTTTTTATGTTTTATGCGATATTTTGATGACTTTTTCCCATTTAAAAATATTTCATTTCAAATTGTATGACAACTGTATGGCCACCTCTCGGGTTCTTTGAGTATAAGTCACATAAAATTTTTCATTGCCTTTCGAATATTGAACCTAAGACTCCAAGTTGAAACTTATTAAAATTTGTGGCTTCAAAGCTTTAAAACTGAGAATAAATTTGCATGTTGCACTTTTAATTTTGTTAATTTTTGTATGTGGATAGGCCCTGTAAATACACAGATATTAACCATAACCCAGGTAAAATCCTGTGCATCAAATTTAAATCATGGTAAGTTTATAATGTTATGACGTGAACGCAATCCAATAAAGTAGCAATGACAAAAACCATGTCCCATTCAGTATGTACATTGTAATGCATTACTATATCCCATACATGGATTCAACAGTTAACATTCCCACAATATGTTATCTGTAAGATCATTCAGCTCCTGTACTGATATTAATGTGCAAATTGTCCTAAAATAATCGTATTCTTTCATGCAATAGTAAAGAGAAAAGTCTAAGGAGTTTTAAGGCCAGAAGAGACATCCTATACGACAGAGAAACCATAGGCTGAGCAGCTAAAGTTTGTGTTTGGCTGTTACTTTAGCTTTAGCCTGAACCCTTTCCACTGCAGAGGTGACTAGCCCTGTTTAACACAATCTCAATGACTATGGATGCCATTGGTCACTACATTCCTGCAATTTACCCTGCAAAAAATATTATCTTACATAAATGAAAATTGTTTGAATTAAAGGTACACTATGTCACTTTTCTAGGGGGTGCGCAAACAGCTTGTCTCCATGGATGTGGTATTGCTTTTTCTGTAAAATTTCAAAGGTATGGAATTAAACATATCTATCTTTTTTATTCAGTTACAGACTAGTGATTGGTCTTGGTTGCGACGCCTTCCTTGAATAATAATACGTTTAATGCCCTATACTGTGGAACATTCCAGGCAAAGCAATAACATCTCCACAGAGACAAGTGATGGTGAACCCTCCTTTAAAAAAGCTACATAGTGCACCTTTAAGACTAGCCTATTTATCTTGTTTTGAATTCGAATTGGTCGGTTAATGAAAAAAGAAAAAAAAATCTTGTCTTTTAAAGATGAGGGAAAAAATCTATATGGTAATATATTTTGGACAAATTTGGATTTGCTAGAAATAGTTTTTTTTTTAAATTTAAATGTGTTCTATTGGCATTGATCATTGAAAGATTTACTGAAAATCTAGTCAGAATCTCTCTCTTTCTCTATTTAATTCAAGTAATTTAAATTTATTTAAAGATGCACTATGTAACTTTTCTGGTGAAGTGCCTGTCAGCTGTTTGTCTCCATGGAGATGCTTTGAATACAATGGTCCACTGTATGGCATTAAACTTATCACCCTAGAGAGAATCAGTTGATATACGTCGCAAAGTTACAGTTCATATCTGTGGAGAGACGAATCCAGTCACTGTAAGAAAAAAATGTTTGACAAGACAACAACTCATCTGTTATTGAAAATGCAAAACAGTTCAAAGTGAATGCCATACGAGATAGATTTAGTGTTTAGTGTCATACACTGGAACATTTCAGGTAAAACAATAACATCTTTATGGAAACAAGCAGGTTACTGACCACCACCAGAAAAGTGACATAGTGCACCTTTAAGACTGCCATTTTTTCAGTGTAGTAAAACCAGGGGTGTGGGAGATTGGTCTGAAATGCTAAGCTAACTTAAGCCTACAGTTGGTGGGCACTGGCTAACATTTGGCCTTCAGTCCGGGGGAGGAGGGGGTCAGTAGTTATCTCGGGGCCAGGGGCGGCTGCGTTGCCGTGGGTTTCTCGGGTTGGCGTCCCGTTGGAGCAGCCTGTCCTGGGACTCGTGCCTATTGGTGCTGTGGTCGCCCCCCGGAGTGTTGCCGCGGTGATGGGGGTAGTCCCTGTAAGTGTGGCCGTGGCATGGCGACCCAAACTCCCCCTCCTGCTCCTCCCTCTCTCCGCGGGACAGGGAGTCGCTGGCCTCATCCGAAGGCATGAGACTGTCCTGCTCCAGAGGTGAGTGGGCCTCCTCTGCCCCCTCTTCCTCCTCTCCCTCCTCTTCCTCCAGCTCCACCTCCTCACAGGGCTGTGGAGGGGTGGGGCTCTGGTTCTGCAGGTACAACAGGCAGCTTTATTCAATAGAAATAAGATACAACAATTGTGTTCATTTAGTCGACTAACATATGATAACAATATGGTAGAATAAAAATATCTGCGTTTAGTCATAGCAATTCAGTATATTTTAGTACTACTTACTACTTTTTTTTCAAAAATCATAAACTTTTCAAACCGGACTGTATACAAACTCAATGTCCATGGTGCATACCTTTACATAAAGCAGTGCAAAACCATGCATCATAATTGATCTGGTTGACAAACTATTATGTATTTAGTAGACTAAATGAACACGTAATTTTCCTGACAAAAACTAAAACTAAAAATAATTGAAGGTAAAAATCTAAATCAAAATTTCTGGTCAAACTGCAAACACTGCATATAACTACCACCTGTCATGACTATATCTGTCTGTTATGTATCAGAGATATACATAACACAGATGTCTTCCCCATGACAAACACTTTTCAAACACCAAACTCACATAGAACAGACAACACACAAAAGAATACAACCTACACAGGAAATACTTTATTCCTAACTTTTGTCAGTTACAGAGAAATGCCTAAGTCACCCAGGCGGGCTCCAGCAAAAAGGTTAAAATTAGCTACTGGACTATGTTTGAAAACAATACACTCAATACTCAAGGGGTGGGTGATATTGATAAAAAAAAAATAAAAATCTCACAATTTTGTACTACTAGTAATAGTACTAGTAATACTAGTATTTTCTTATATTTTTATATACTTTATATTTTCTTTTTTGCAACAGTGCATTTAGCTATAAAACGTATGCTTTTGTGACTGTAACAATTCAGAATGCAATGTCTGATGAATTGTGCTGCTCAGTTCTTAATCTAAACAAGCAGAGGAAGGGTCATTTGGCATCAAAGCTGAAACTGTTCAAACTTCGTCCAGGCCTAATTTTAAAAATAAAGACGAATACTTTAACTTGGGAAGAAAACTTAAAGGTGCACTATGTAACCTTTCTAGTGAAGGGTCCTCCACCTGCTTGTCTCCATGTTATTGCTTTGCCTGGAATATTCCACAGTATAAACTTGAATGTCATACTGTGGAACATCCCAGGCAATGCAATGACATCCCTATGGAGACAAGCATGTGGCGACTGATCCAAAGGAACAGTGCACCTTAAAATGCCGTAGTGTACTTTTTTATAATGGTTAGTTCTACTCTAACTTTCTTCACAAGCAAGAAGAAGTAGCCTGGCTGGCATTTTACAAGATACACTCTTTATCCAACTAACAAAGTGCTAAGTAAAGCTTGAACATCATTCTCATTCAAGGCTGCAGTTGGAAATTATTTGTGTAGCATGCGGTGAAAAGGCATCACCAAAACAAACAAACCAGAGCCAAGTTTGGACTTTTTTGCTCCACTGTGCAAAAAAGTGAATCAATACTTTTGGGCATTTAGGTATGTTAAACATGAAGTTGTGGTGTAATAGAAAATATGTCAGTGTAGGAGATTGTAAAAAAGAAGAAAAATGTTTTTGAACCAATGCTGTAAACAATTGTGATCTGGTGGCAAAGTTAAAGGTCCTATATTACAAAAAATTGACTGTTGTGAGCTTTTAGCCATGTTATAATGTTGTTACCTCATCAAAAACATACCCGGACTTGTGTTTTGTTTCATTCACATATATTTGAGTAACCCTTCATTATCAGTCTGTCTACATCTCCAAAGTTCAAAATGCTCTGTTCCACCTTGTGATGACATGAAGTGGTAGTTTTAAAGTTAACAGATGCTGTTTACTTTGAGATGAGCAATTCCAGGGCTAAAATTATCCAAATGATTCTAGTGAAGGTGTATAGACTTTAAAAATACAGCAGAGCATTTCCTGTATTGCCACATGACATCACAAGATGGAACAGAGTGTTAGTACTCAGCCTAAATATGCAGGATTTGTGTGTTAAACATGTGTGAATGGAACAAAACAAACCTCTGTGTATGTTTTTGATGACTACAACATTATAGCATAGATCAGAAAATAGTGTAATATGGGCCCTTTAACGTGTATACAGAAAGGGTGTGAACAAATATACATATAAACCCTACTACTCACCCCAAAGTTTAAGCGATCATTCAATTAATTCCTGTGTTTCAGAAAACTGCAAAAATGTCAGTCATGGATGAGTGAGGACAGACACACAACTGGAGACAATCAAATCAAAACACAAGGTGAAAATGGAGAGAGCTGCAGAGACACTGACAACGGACAGCATTTCAGAACAAATATCAACCCTATAAGGTATGTTTTAATTACACATTTATAACATAGAGTCCAGTGGCTCACCTGGAGGCTGGAGAGGGCAGAGGGCGGGGTCATGAGGCTCTGCTCTAACAGTGGGTTGAGGGGGGTAGAGCCTGGGAGGTGTGTGGCGCGCCAGTACACCTCCAGATACTCAGCCAAGTGCTCGCATGCATCCTCCAGCTGGTTCTCGTCCAGAATGACATCAAACTTATCCTGCAATGGAAAGGTTAGTCTGGTATTATAACACCACAAGCTGAATTATCATGAGATTTGGAAAGTCACAAACTCTCATGTCCAAAGGCATCACAACAGAGTAGAGGAGGAGCTTCTCATGTGGTTAAATGAGCTACAAACAGTCTCTTTATTGAATATACAGAGCATCCAGAAGCACTGTGTGAAATATGTACCATGGGAAACAGGCTGAGTGACACCTAATGCAATTGTTCAGCACACGCATGAAAATCAAAGACAATAAAACAAATGCACTGTAGCCACAAGTCTGAAGCAGGGGTCTGTGGAGCGAATCTGAAACCTGTACTCCTGAGGTTTAATACAGACTGCAGTACACAGACAGGCAACTACATTGTGCAAGTAACCTCCTTAAAATGCTAAACCTGTCCTGTACTGAGTGTAAGTGAGGGGTCAAGCTATGGTAGGCTGACACTAGTTTACATTTTATAAGCCAATTCTACAGTAGCAATCCCAGATCAATAAAATTAACTTGACTCAGTGTACAACAAATCAGTCTGGCTTTAGCCTAGACCTCTAAATGGTCCTTTTCCAGCTTTAAGATAAAATCAATAGTGTGTGATGTTTTCTATGTTAAAACATGTTTCAAAGCTCAAAAGTTGGCAGTGGATGGGCTTTTTAAACACTTTTATTTAACCAGTTTGGTAAGATTTGAAGTACTCACAGGGGGGCACTGAGAGAGTTTGTCTAGAGCCATCATCTGCACATTCAGGTGTTTGCTCTGAGACTTCCCTCTGGATTTCACCAGCCTCTGGAAAACCTGAAACAATAATGAAGTGGGTTAATAAAAACAAAATCAATATACATAAAATAATATCATAAACAAGGTGTATGTTTGTAGTACCTTTGGAGAGGACACTTTGACATAGACAATGATGGGAGCTAAGGAGGTTTTGGCGAGCTGTTCAGGGTGGTTAATTGTATCTGCGTCCAAAACCACCAACTGCAATGTTTTGGCCAGTTCAAATATCCTCTCGATCTCACTCTGAACTTCCGCTAAAGAGAGAAAAATAATGTATCACAAAATAACCATTGTTTTCTCATTTTCATATTATTGCTCCATATTTCTGTTATGTTATTGGTTGCTTTACCAATTAATTAAATCTAGTCATCTACTTTCCCCTTATTTTGAACAGGTTTTCAGATTACTGCTCATAACAATGTATGTATGTACACTGTGTTTATAAAATTGAACTGTTAAATCATTAACTCTTATCTGTAGACTTACAATTAATAATAGTATAATAATCAAATAAGACTCTATAGGGCTTTTGTCCAGGGCACTATCTTCACTCAACAGAGTAAATACTGTAAAACTGTTGTATATGTTACCTAAACTGGAGCGTGTGTTGGACCTCTCCATTATGGGCCTTTTGTTGAGGACAGATCTTTTGGCTAAAGACAGGTCGGCAGTTACTCGTGTGATTGAGATCCTACAAATGTCAAAGAAATGCAATAAATAGTAAAATGCAGGTTGTATTCAAAATGTTTGTATGCAAGATTTTCACTTACCTGCCCTCAAATCTATGTTTTAGGAAGTCAAATAGGGCTTTCTGCATCATGTCTGTCACCTACAGGTCAACATAAATAAATGTATTTATTCATATAAATAAATAAAATATCTCTTATAGTTATAATATAAAGGCATGCAATGGAACCACATCCAGTGTCTAATTGAGATGGGAACTACTGGTTTCTGAGGTAAAGTTTACAATGAGGTCTGCTCAGAAAACAAAAAAAAAGCAATTTTATTTCAAATCTATTTCTACAGCAAAGGTATGAATACATAACCGCTACTTTAACCTGATTTTTTACCCATGTATTTGAGCAAAATGTGTGTTGCCTCGGTACAGATATATTGCATAAGCAGCTCTTGAGGTTAAAATAAATCTGCTGTGTGCTGTCAGCATATAATTAGAATTTTATTATCAGATAATCACAAAGTGCACATTAGCATGCTACTTGTTGTGATCTCTGAAAGTTGTAAAAAGCGCTTATAAACTCACTGCAGTGAATAATTAGGATGTTCAGAATTCATAAGGTAAGTGAGGAATAACTTTGGACCAGAGCAACTGTAAAATTAACTAGTTCTGTTTTTTCCACATTTTTGGACAGAAAAATCAATTGCAGCAATTTTAAGAACCTTAACAATATCGACTTAGTTAAGTTAGAAAGAGCCTGAGTGGAGCTTCCAGAGCTGTAAGTCCTCTGTCAATGTCATGTCCCCAGCACTGACACGGTTTAATGTGCAGGTGAAAATATGGAGTCTGACCTCATAGCCCTTCAGAGACGGTCCCACGAGAACCACCGGCCTCATGGAGGGCACCACATCGTACGGAGGGACATGTTCCTGCCCAAAATAAAGGAGCAAAGAAGACAGGGACAAACAAGGCACGTGGCAGGTGTGAGAGAGGACAGGGGAATATGATCTGATAAAAATGAACTTAAATAATGCTGTTTTAAGATAGACCTACCTGTTTTTGCTTCAGTTTAGCTTGTAAAAACAACACAAATCATTTACCATACAAAAACACAATTCTCTGTGTAAAAATTAATTCTAATTGAGATGTGTGTGATACTTACTTTCACCTGCAGATGGCGGTGTTGTTCTCCAGTTTCCTGTTACCATGTCCCCTAAACTAGAAGAGTTACCTCCCGACTTTCTGCAGAAGATACAATCAAATCATCAACATAATAATGCTCAAAGAGATGACCCAAAACAGCAGCTGAACTTGCACAAACTATTGAAAATGTAACTAAACTGGGACATAACTAACCAAAGTTGAGTCGAGAAAAAAACTGACAAACAAAACAAAGCCAAAGCTAGCTCTATGTAAACCTTGACTAAAACATTGGCCCTACCACTTTAATTGCCTGGCCAGCCAAAGCCACAGAGAAAGTAGAAGGGACTGGCTGGCAACCATTTTAAAAGTGTTGTTTGCATTCCTCAGCTTTACCTCTGTTTCTGCTCCTGTTTGAGTCTCATCGCCTCGAGTCGCAGAGGGCTGGGGATAAAGGTGATGTCTGCTCCCTCCTTCACCAAACGGCCGATCCACCAGTCATTATTGTACTTCTGTGGATTCAGCACAGAAGTACAGAACAACAGGACACAGTTAAGAAAGGTGAGTGCTATTCAGTTTCAAATACTTTTTCTAACACCGTACTTTTACTTCTACTTGGTTATGTTTTTTTTTTTTTTTTTTTTTTTATTTAAAGCAGCACATTGCATATATATATATATATATATATATATATATATATATATATATATATATATATATATATATATATGATTATAGCCAAAGGAACAACAATTCCATGGGTAATAATAACATATATTTCCTGGTATAATAAAACTGATCCATCTCCATGAAAGGAATGTTCCACAGCATGGAATTACATTTATCTTTCACCTATTCAATTATGTGTTGCTCAAAAATACCTTGACAGACATTCATTCTTACTGTGAGTGAGGCCACCTCTCCACAGATCTGACCTGTAACTTGGCTTCTAACTTGTAAGTTTATACTTTGGAACATTCCAGGCAAATCAATAACATCTCAGTAAGGACAAGCACGTAGCAGACCCACCAGCAAAAAATTAAATAGTGCATCTTAAAATATTTTGATACTCTTATAGTAAGATATATCAGTCTAAGCAGAGGGCATGGCACTTCCTCCTCTTCCTCTTTCCCCTCCTCCTTTTCTTCCTTCTCCTTTTCCCCCTCCTCTTCATCACTCACCTCTTTAATGTGCAGAAAGTCTTTGGCATCAAAATTGACTGCAGCTCCCTGGACGGGACAGTCCTCATCCAGAGCTCCACAGTAGCTCACATTGGTCTTCACTGCAAACGCTACAGGTTTGGACTGAGACAGACAAGAAGAAACTGCATGAGAAATGATCACTTTAGAAAAGCTAGCAGCATCATTTTGATGATAACTGGTCCTGGTGTTTAATGATGAATCAATGGTTCAAGCTTTGAACTATGTAAAGAGATAATATTTTTTAAATTTCATTTAAATTGTGATATATACTGTATGCATATTTTTCAAATCAGGATTCAGATTGCTATGCACAAAATTTGCATGCTTTTCAGAACATTTCGGAGCAGTCTAAACAACAGGGTTAGTCGATTTTTATAACAAGATTGTATTATACTCTATGTTCTAAATATGATTTGGTGGTTGCCATCCAAATAGTAATTTTGATTCAGTTATGATTAATCCTAAGACTCATCATGTACAGTCTGTTCTCTAGTCAAACTCAGACATGAGGCACGTGAGCATGTGCACCTTTGCTCTGTCGAGCTGCAGCTGGGCCTGGCGCTCGGCTTCGCGCCGATACGCCTCGCGGTCCTCCTCGGCTGACAGGTCTGAGTCTGACGGGCGACTGGTGTACGAATCAGCAGAGCCCTGGGAAGAGTAATCTCATTTAATAACAAAGAAAATATAAAATCACATCTTAGAAATTTAGTTGACCATATAAGACATAAAAATAACTCTATGGTACTTGGATGAAAATATGTAGGGAAAAAAAAAAAAATCTTGGAGCTTCTTCTGAGATATCACTGATTAAAGCATCCTGTCAAAAGGTATATAGTTTGTGTGTGAGCATGAATCTGTTAAACAGAAAAACAAAGACTGGTATCACAATTAGTACAATTGGTATCGCAATTAGTTTTAATGCCATAATGCCATGTTTTGCAAAAATGGGTAGATTTGTATTCCAGTGTTTTTCCCATGTCACACAATAATCATATATCATTCTGACATATAATCTTCTCAGTTTTTCCTGCAAATGTGATTATTTTTCATTTAACTAAAAATATTAAGAGACATTTCAGCATGCATGTCTGGTGAACAAACCTTCCCCCAGAAAAGTTACATAGTGCACCTTTAAATACCTGCTGCTTTTACAACGTTACCAACTGCAGCCATTCGATTGTGCTTAATCTGTACATCTTGGCGCCCTAGTTTTTACAGGTGTTAGTGCAAATGTATGCCTCTGTGTTCATAAGCTCAAAACAATACTCCCCACTCTCCCACAGCAACGTCTTTTTCTGCAACACCAAATATAGCACCAAAGAGACACGGCTTCCTCCTCTTCTCCTCTGGCCCCAATCCATCCCCCACAGTGCAGAGCGTTCACATCCACTACTGCCTGTTTATTCTCCAAGGACATTTCCTCATTAGCAAAATATATGCTACTGCTATCATTATTCACAGTGGAAGGACGCATTATTCACAAGACGTCAAGCGCAGGATTCAACAAACACTTTTAAGCGAACTATAGGGTAGGCGCAATGTCAAATGGTTGTGTTGGGAACTATTGGGTAAGAAATGTGAACACTGTGTGATTATTAGTGATTATTGACAAGGTCTGTTGTAATAATTACTGCATATCGAACTATATCAACTAAATTAAATTAACTGAAAGCTGCAACAATATTTTCTCAGCCTCAATATAAATAAAACAGGAAACCGTCACCTTTTTATTGTTTTGCTATCTAATGCTATATTTGCCGAAACCAATGTATTAGTTATTTTCAGTTTCGGTTTTGATGCTACTTTGAGTCTCTGAGTCTGAGCACACTATCACAACACAATCAGCATGCATACCCCTAATTAAACTACTGCACATCACATCAGGTTTGTGAAGTTGTAGTGCATTGTTTTGTATCATGCTTCTGTACATTAGTGAAAAAAGACTTTGCGAGAGCTTGGGTGACGTACGCTTGTGGGCTAAGCCTAGACAGAGCCTCCGTGGATGCTCATCATGTAACTTTTTTGCTGGTAAAGTAAAATATTCATAAAGAAAAAGTGCTCATTACACAGTTTTCACAAGTGGGACCTGTTCTGAGTGCTCTCAAATTTTGGTCATCCATCTTATAATACACACACATTCACTCTCAAGGACTAATTAGAAAACATGCATAGCTCCTTATAGCTTACACACAGTAATATCATGCAGTCCTGGTACAGTAATGCTACTAAATTAACACTGACATTTTAACAAAAGGTCTGACAGGAATTGCAGTGGACCAGTGTTTAAACAAAACAACTGAAAAGATATAAAGTTTGGCAAGAAACACTAAATATCAGGGATGTCAGATTATAAAACTTTATCTTATCTTTGTATTTGGGCTGTAGTCGACTTGAGAAATACTTGGTCGACTAAAGACATTCCCTGCGCAATGGTTAATGGACCAAAAGGGGGTGAGGCATGGCACTGTCAAAAGATTACAAAATTATTAGGATTTAAAGGCAACAACAGCTGTACACAAAGAATGTATAGGCAGATAAAACTGTCCAGTCACTTCAAAAACTCCAACGATTTTCATACTTTCTCCTTTCTGCTGTGATCCATTTAAACCCTTATAATAGTAATAAAATAATGAATCGACTAATAGAATATCTGGCTGACTAAGACACAGCTGCAGCTCAAATAATACAAGTTTCCCCCCTAATACAAAAAAGTACCAGGATAAATACTGAGCACCAAAAATTATATCCCACTGAGAATCTTTTTGAGACTTCATCTTCTGTAATGCAATATTACTGTCCCAGATTTACACAGTTGTCATAAACATATGATTATAATACTGTCTTGTGGTTTAGTGTTGGAATGAGAGGGTGAAATACATGTAGCCAGATAAGGTTATGTGGAGGGAGAGATCAGATTGTACCATAATAAAACGCAGAGGAGCAGCAGCAGGGATGGTGATGTCACAGGTGCAGAAAAGAAAATGGGACGCACGCTCCAGACTCCAGATAAAGGCACAATGTTCTTGGTTATATTAAATCCCTGTCTCGTAGTTGAGTATTATATTTAACTTCATGGTGCAATAGTTTTTGATAGGTACAATTGTTGGGAAACTATTCTTGAAACGTATCCTCTAAAAAGCTGCTTTCGTGATCATTATTCACAGTACTAAAATCTATTAATACTTTCTTCATGTAGGGTGCATCAAAACAGCAAAGGATCAAGGTCTATGTAGTTTTACTTTCGTCCGGATTTTCACCACTGCTGCAACCTCCTGCTTGTTTCCATGGAAATGATTTTCTACTGGCTATAATATTCCACAGTATGGTATAATACGTATCTATTTTGACTGAGAATGTTCCAAAGTATGTTTTCACTTTCTATTGCCATAGAATCATGTAGACCACCTCCATAAAGTTACATACTGTACCTTTAATATCATTTATCATCATGTGACACTGAACAACTATTTTTTAATGTTCCTATAATAAAAAAAAAGAAATTGGCTGCAGAGCATTTAACTTCAAGGCTCCAAATGAATGGAACAATTTACCCTCCTCAATCCGATCAATTACAAAAATCTACCATTTTAAGGCGTCAGTCTTCAGATACTTACAAACATCCTGCTCCTGTTTTCAATAAAAATACATTTTTGTTCTATGTACTTTCTGTTGTACACAGAGTTCCTACTTTTCTTCACTTATGTAATATAGGTGGAGTGATGATAAAATCAGAGAGATGTATATCTTAGGATCCTGGATGCTGTTTGTGTGTTGTGTGAATGTTGTCTTTGTGTTGTGTTTGTCTTTTGTTTTGTTTTTTCTTTCTTTTCTGTAAATGCTATTTTTGTTAATGTATTTAGGACCCCCTCGCAAACGATATGCTACATCTCAAGGGGCTTCCATTATAAATAAAGAAATAAATATTATTTTCTGCATCTGCAAGTCACTTAAAACATTTACATAATGACAGGCCTAATAAGGAGAAAATGCAAACAAAAAATTAGACCTATATGATTTTGGAGAAATTTATGTATACTAAGTACTACAATTCAGTTTGCATATATGTTTAAAAAATATAATTCTGTTTTTCAGTGCTCACTGAAACAGCTCCAGGAGGATTAACATTCAAGAGAAGACAAAAAAAGACAAAAATATGAACTATGAAATATGAACTGATAATACAAGAATCTTATACATTTCACAACATGTAGCATTCCAAACATGATTAAAAAAAGACAGGATATTTTGTTGTTGTACTTTGAAGATGACATTCTAAATAATTACAGCCTTTGCGATGTGATTATTGCACCAACTCAAAGTGCCATTTTGATTCGATAAGGATTCATTGTTTAGCCCTATGTAAAGTCTTGTTAATCTGCAACAGGTTTAACAGGCTCCTGCCCCCTCTCTGAGTGAAGAGTATTTTACATCCTTTAAAATGACAATTGCCTGTGAAGTGTGATGTCTTATTTGTCAGAGCTGCTGTTGCTGTCTGGAGGGCTCCGTTTAATTATGTGCTCCGTATTCTTTATGTGTGATTATTCTCCACACTCCAGCACTGATGGCCTCCTCTCCACAGGGAGGAGCCGCTGCAGCAAACTGTGTCATCCAGCGTGTCCCGGAGGCTCTGCTGTGGGACCAAACATATGGGGTTTTTACAGCCGCTTTCAGAGCATATGTTACACAGGATTTGCATTTCAAATTCAATCGCTCAGGCTTCTCAGGAAAGCAGTGGTCATAAATGTACCGCTCCTTCAGCTACAACATTATACATGGCAGATAGCTCATTCTAAATCGTGATTGGTAGAGCTCCATGATTAAAATGTTAACGGCTGTACTTGACAACTTGCAATAATGTGATGAGATAGTAAAACCTGATACTTAAGATAGATGCTCATTTGGCCAGGTATTACACAGGAGAATAGGTTTAGAATGTTTTTTATCTTAATCAAAAGAATCTGTAGTCCCACTGGTAAGATAAATGAAATATTGTTTTGTAATGCATTATATATTGTAGTGCAAAGTGTTTTCATTTATTATTGTGGTATTAAATTAATATTGAACCTTTTCCTTGAGTCATGTTTGAAATTTTAGAAAAGTTAAAGTCTACGTGAATGATGTAACTTTATGGGGATCTTATTGTTTTTCTGTGAATACTCCACAGAATGGTGTTCAAAGTCCTATATTACACAAAAATAAGCCATGTTGTTACCTCCTAATAAACATACCCAGAGCTGTGTTTTGTTTAATTCACACATTTCAGTAATCTTTTATTATTAGTCTATCTACACCTCCAAAGCTCAAAATGCTCTGTTCCACTTTGTGGTAATGGTAGTTTTCAAGTTTAAAAGTACGTTTTACCTTTTTATTAAGTAGATATTGGATATTCCTGGACAGAAATCATCAAAATGATTGTAGTGAAGGTGTATGGAGTTTAAAAACACAGTGGAGCACTTCCTGTATTACCACATGACATCACAAGGTAGAATAGTGTTTTCTGATTGAGAGAAGAACTCAGCTGAATATGCAGGATTTGTCGTCATAACGTGTTTGAATGAAACAAAACACAACTCCAAGTATACTTATAAGGAAACAACATTACTAAACTAACACAGATCAGAAAATATCATAATATATGCCCTTTATAC